CCAGGACTCTGCTTTGGGTTTGGCACCGATGCCAGTTAAATCCTACTTAGCGTTGCGAGAGAGCAGCAAATGTGACCAGCTTCAGTTAGTGGGAGAACAACCTCAATCTGCTATGTGTGCAGTAATGTGATGTTGGCTCACTCCTAGGAGTGAGATATGTGGTATTTTAGCAGTGCCCTTGTGCTTTTTTTCTTTGAAAGTGCTTTGGATAAATTCCTCTTGTATACAAATTTATTTTCTCAAGGACAGTTATGCTCAGGCCTGTTATACTCCTCAGTAGGATGGTTGGAAGCAGAATGGAAAGAATTTTTTTATGATTATCTTTATTTCTTTCAGTTGAAAGCTAACCTTCAAAAGGCTTGATGTTCAGGGTGCTTGTCCAGATTAATTCTTGGAAAGCTTGTGATAATTACTCTTTCTCCCTTCTGGCCCTGCTAGAGATGCACTGCAAGAGCACTGTTTCTTAAGATGTATTTGGCACCCCAGGTCCAAATCATATAAAATGAAGTTGAAAATAGTTACTTGAACTTTGGGTTCAGGTTAAATTTTATCTGAACACATTTGCATATGATCAGCCTGTGGACCCCAAGCAATAATATGCCAACCAAAAAACACAAGCAAAATTTAATAAGTGGAAACACTAAGGATAAGGTTGTATTTCCTCACCAGGTTGCAGATGAGTGTATACTACAGCCTAGCATCCAGTGCTCATACACACCAGGTTTCTAGGTCAGGTTCTCTTCATGTTTCTAATAAATCATTTGGTATTTGACACCAAGCTGTAGATTTTGTGTGTTGCTGCTAATTGCTTTAGGAATGTTACAGAGAAGTGTGAAGAATTCACTCAGCAGTAAAGACCTTTGAGCTGCTGCTTGGTTCTCTAGTTAAATACAAAAAGAGGGGAAAATCGTGACATTTTAAAAAGAAAACTTAAAAATGTATCTTCAGAGAACCTTCTAATAAGCAGTAAGGGCTGGACTTACTCTTATCATAGACTGTTGCATATTTTCTGGTCCCTTTCCTGACTCAAAGCAGTGGATTTCACTGCCTACTTTTTATTCTAGGGCAAAGCTGGATTATATCTTAGTCTATTTTTCTTGCTGTATAGTCCTGCAGAAGTGTTTTGGTTCGGAGAGTGTTGCCTTGACACTTCAGTTTCTTCTCTCCTCAAGTTCCCCTTCTCAACTCTAGGCTGTTCCAAATAAGTCACTGCTCAGTTGCAACAATAATATGAGAAAATACTTTTAAAATTATGTGGTGTATTTGCTGTTCAGTAGAATAGCTCTGTGCAGCTTATTAACTACAAGGCATATCAGGTAAGTTAGAAATCTGTGCTGCTGAATTGCACATGTGTGAATTGCAGGCCCACACTGCTGTAAATCAGTAATTTATATTTAATTTGAGCAATACTTCATGGACTTTGGGTAGGTCAAGTTTTGCAGTAGTCTTGCTGGTCAATTATACTTCAGTTAACGCCTTATGACAGTTCCTGTATTGCCTCATACAAGTCCACCTGCCCTTTATCCTTCACCTGCAGGAGAGATTGTTGGAAACTCTATAGTTTTGTGTACATGGTAAAGTTGGTCCCTGCGTAATGTAAATCTGTTTTAAATTTATATAATTAAACTGGTTTGAGTTCAACTTATTTGAGTTGAAGTGGCTTATTTTCCTTTAACTTAAGTTTGCTCCCCTGAACTTAAAGCTTAGCTAAGAGAAGCCACTTATCTCAGTACAGCAGTTTAAATCAACTCTTTACACTCTGCAAGCACAATTTCCCTGCCCTGTGGATTTGTGGGAAGGGTTGCTAGTGTCAAATGTGTTGCTTCATATACCTTGTCCTGTCTTTTCCATGACCTTTGGTCAGATAGTCTGTTTAGGTTCTCCATGGACTTTTGCTTCCTCTCTAGGGAAGCACAGTTACCTGCTCACTAGATGTTACATCGCGTCTAGCATGCTGTTGGCATTTCTGGTATACCCCTCATGAAAACCTCTTGATTGCTTCTCCAGTGTTGTCTACTTTTTAAACTAGATTTACATGGAAAATGAAGAGCGTGTGTATATGGGCAAGAGCCTTACTAGAGCATGCTGCACCCTAGAATAGATGTGATGTAGCTGCCTGCGTGGAGCATTAACATGTGGCAGTAAGCACTCCCACGGGAGTGAACCTGAACACACTCAGGGCTACCCTACACCTCCTTTGCATCCATTTAGTTGTCTGCATGGAGTAGGAGCACCATGCTTAGTTGTAACTGTCCCTTGTGCAGTCCATGGCGAGTATTGATGCACCCTCAGTGATTTGCATTGGTCTTTTTGCTGCTTGATAGGTAGACTGATAAATCCCAAATTAAGCCCATCTTGAAATCTTTCATTCTTACACCTTGGTATTACCAGATAAGGGCTTCCAGGCTGATAGAATTTTAGTTCTCTTATGACCTGCCATTGTGTCAGGTGCTGGTTTGATTGGTGAATACAGCAAAACTGAGCATTTTAACATCTCCAACAGTTCTCCTTCATTGCTTCCGCCTAAGAGCAATAAATGTATTTCTGTTTTTCTAAGTGACAAATCAAACATCAATACCCTTCCTAGCATGCTGTTACCATAAAAGAGGCTACACCAGTACCTAAGTGATTTCTCTGCAAGTTGTTTTGGAGAAGCAGAATGGGCTAAAACTGACTCCTCAGTTGTCTACTAGCTGTGTAGCCACACATGCCTGTTGTTGCTACTCTTGCCCACTTTTCTCTTTCTGCATTTTATTGCTCACTAAATCCACTTGCTGAACCTTTTTAAAATTAGACTGTAACCTGTTCAACGTTTGCTTATGATACGTAGAACCATAAGACCCCAATCCCAATCTAATTCCTCTTTTAATGCATCTCTATGGAAACGACTTCTCAAGTATTGCAGTTCTTGTTTGGAGGATTGGTATGTGTTCTCCCCCTCTGCCCCTTGCTTTCCCTCCACACTTTGGGGAAATTAAAAATTGTTTATTGCCATACATCAGCCTGACCATTTGGGCAGGATCTGTTTGGGGACTGTATATTTTGGCAGTGTCCTTTCATTACTTTTCTGTTCTAATACATTGTCTGATGAAACAAATGTGTTAAAATGGGTACAAGTTGCTACACTGATGAAAGGGGATCTCTTAACCTTACCCAGGTGGGCCATGCTAATGTGTGCTAATAGTCCACAAAAGTTACCAGTTGGTTTTCATAATTTTAGGAATGAAACAAGCAGGATCTGGCTAAACCTCTGATTCCCAAGTTTCTGCTCTTCATAAGAGACCCCTTTGGCTCATAATTACATCCTCTAGGGGTACAGATTTGGCTTCTGTGCTTGCAAATTCAGGTTCAGTACTGAGAAGATAAAAGACTAATTAGCGATATGGAGAATAAAGATATGAGTTGATCACGTAGGGCAATTGTTCATATTTAAGACACGGTAGAATCACGAGGAGGAGACATCTTTTTTCCCTTCTCCGTGTATTGCATATGAAAACACTATGCTTAAAATCATTTGAATTATGTTTGTCTGGAGATATGAGTGTATTGGGCAGTCTGCTATCCAGAACATTTTTCCTTTGCTATACCAAAGTTTCTGCTTGTTAGCTGCATTGCAGCCATTGCAGGGCAGGCTGCCATTCTTATAATCCTTGTCATTTTTGATTAAATCAAATTAACTTGTTCTTAAAAAAAACAAACAAATAAACCAGTAATGTGTTAAGCCCATATGGCTCCTGTTTTCATATGCACTTGAAGGCCTTAGGAGTTAAATAAAAACTTATCTTAGCCACAGGAACACAAGACTGAAAGATATGGGACTACTAATATTTTGTGGTTCAATGTATGTAACTGTACTAGTGAAAAGCAGCACACACATCAGTTTTTTGGTAAGAAAACATCACAGAGCTGGAGGTCTTTTCTGACCAACTTTATTCAAGAGCAGGTGTTCATAGTAAAAGGACTCTACCTTCAAAAACGGGAGTGCTTTAAACGCTCACTATTTTGCAGTCAGAACCTCAAAGTCACCTGGCTGCTTGCAGATGTTTAAACCCCCCAAAACTGGAAGAAGCAGCGCATTATCTTGACCCAGCTCCACTGTATCTATATAGCTCGGGTGCTTCAGCGGGGCTTTCTGGAGCTTTTAAATAATAGCTGATTCAATCAATTCAATTAGATAAAAGCACCAGAAAAACCCCGCTAAAGCAGCTGGTCTATACAGACATCAGGTGAGCCGGGTCCAACACTGCCTCTTCGGCGTGGGAGCATGCGGAGTTTAAAGTAAATCGCCGTCTTTGGGGGTTTTTAAATGTTCACAAGCAGCCCTTGTGTCCGCAGTTTTGACCCTTCCATTACTGGCAGGGAATGGTGCACTACAAAACCGTCTCTCTGTGGAAACATAACATTAGAAGTTATTTGGCTCCCAGCAGTTTGAAAACCCTTCCTTGCCCCTCCTTTCTTCCCCCTTCATACATTAGTGGAACTGGGAAGGCTCAAGGGATAGTGGGATCAGACCTTTCATCACTAGGCTACAGCTTCAAGTGAGGTCCCAGTTTTTAATGGCCACAAGTCATAAGATCTGCCAGCCTGTTTGGTTGTCTATGAAACGGAGCTGGCAATTACTTCACATTGTGGTGGACGTCCATTCATGTAATGTAAACGATACCCTTTTCATCAGTGTCAGAAAAGCACTGAATGGGCATAGAGGTTGAACTACCCTCTTGTCTCAAGCAGTGGTCCCTTTGAGCCAGACATGTTGCACTTGGGAAGATGTGTGCACATGATAGAGAAAATGGAAGGAAGGCTGGCACTGCCCTTTCCCTGGCAGAGCCATCAACTGGGCACCATCCAAGAGGACTAAATTCACTTCAGCAATAGCTTTAAAATTAAACATTCCAAAATCGGGTAAACCTCTTATAAATAAGTTTGCATCTTGGGATCATGTTAGAAATTTCTTGTTTCTATTTTGTTAATGTACTAATAAAACTGCCCATTTCTTTCAGGTGGGTGTACATGGCATTAGAATAGAATTCATCAATGAAAAAGGATCAAAACGCACCGCCACCTACTTACCGGAGGTTGCAAAGGAGCAAGGTCATTGTTGCACTTTATTTCATATGATCTGGTGAAGAATTTAAACATACATATAAACCTAAAATGCAATATTTGACCTTGCACTGATGTCAGATGATGGAGCAATATTTAATTGTAAGGAATGACTCTCATATAAATGCCATTTATGTGTCTGTTTAAAATCAATCCCTTTATTGGGACAGTTCCAGTAAATTTTAACAGTTTAAGCACATCATAAATAAACAGCAAGAAAGTAGCAATGTGCACAATAAATGTAGTGGGTGGTATGATGCTACTGACCATATTTTATGATGGTTAAAATCTGTTTTTCATATAATCAATATGTTACAATGTCTTCAGTATGCTAGACCATTTTAACTCAGTGATATAACCATTGGTTATGGATCTTAAGAGCAGAGTTCTTTCTAAACCTAAAGGCTGAAGTTCTTTCTCTTCTTAGGCTCTCACTGCTGGCACTTAATCTTCCATAAGAGCTTTTGTTTCCCATTGGTTTTGGGTGGGTAGAAAGGGACTTGTTTCATACTGAACATCCCAAAAGAATTTTGTAAACTCAACTGTCTGTCTCGCAACCAAAGGCAGAGTCTTGTAACTTGGTTATTTGGAAGAAAAATGTACTCTAGCTTTGTTTTGAGTCTGTGATGCTAAACAGTTGTCCTTGACTACTTACTAACATTTTTTTCTTCCAGCCACGACAGTATTTTTTCCATTTTTTGTTGGAATTCTGCCTCCTTGTGTGTTAAATGTTGGTGTTTAAGGCATAGAAATAAAACCTGCACTAAAGGCTACATTCAATGGGCAGCTCTTGGTCTAGAAACCTCTTAACTGTATCTAAGATTTCAGCTGTAATATTGTCTATCCTGTAATTACAGATCTCCATCTTAAAAGGGGATTTTATTGAGCCTGTAGGTGATTGCTTAAAACAGGTTTCATTACATTGCTACGTGAACTTTTTTAGTCAAAATCTTTTATTTTGTCTTGTCTGTCTGATAGACTCTGTTCACGTAAAACTATTTGGTTTGTTTAAAGTACCCAACATTAAAACATTTGGTTTTTATATACATATGTGAATGTTCTAAAAATTGCATACTTCTGAAATAACGTATCTAATAGTTTAAATTTTTTTCATCCAAAATGTCTGGTTCAATTTCTGCATGTTGTATCAAGTCTTCAAAACTGTGTATTGATTAATGATAGTTTAGAAGACTTGTTGGAGAACAATAATGAGCTTAAACTATTTCTAGGTTTCTAGTCCATAATTTAATTAACACATCCCCACGCTGTATAATACCGTAGTTCTAAAATTGGAAACATCACTGTAACACTAACAACACTGTAAAGAGATGCTGTTTTGCAGTGAGTTCTGGGCTATTTCATTCCTTTTGCCTCTGCCTCCTAAAAGCAGATTTTAAGACACTCAAGCCTGCTTATGTTACAGCATTTTCAATAGACACTTTATTTTTCTAGGGCGTTCTGTATTTTATATACTGATATAAAGGGTGATTGTGATGCATAACCTTGCCTTAAGGCTTCATTCAAAAAGATGTAGTTCTGGGATTTCCATCCCCCCCAAGTCCAGGAAACGTGTATATTGGGTCTGTCTTTAAATTTCATGCTAGATCTTTGTCTTGCAGAAAAAACTTGCTTCTCCTTATGTTGGAAGAAAATATGTACATGGTACTTCCTGCAAGATGCTGCTGTTAGCAACAAAGGAATTTACATGTTACTGCTCTAGGAAAGTTATGTGTACTTAGCAGAGTAGTTGCAAAAATATAGCAGGAAGTAATATTTTTATATGCAGAGACTGTTTCATTGCTTGCTCCTCACCAGTCTTTATTCTGATAAAATTCCACAGGATGGGACCACATTCAGACCATAGATTCCTTACTGAGGAAAGGAGGCTACAAAGCTCCAATTACTAATGAGTTCAGGAAATCTATAAAACTGACCAGGTATGTATTATGGGAGTTACCATATGCCCTCACATACCTCTTGCTCCAGTATAATCTGGAGCTTGTTTTTTGAAGGGCAATATGAAGGGACAAAAAGAAGTTTGCTTTTAGGAACTGAGTAGTGGCAGTTATGGAGCAGAGTGAGGGCAGATTTTACTTTCACCTGCCTGTAACGGGCAGATCCTGTTCTTGCTGTATTTTTTGCATGGTATACGCAATGCAATTTCCGGTATCTGTTTGGGGGCAGGGGGAAGGGATATATATGTTGTATGTGAGAAAATACAGCACTGTAGCTAAAGTTGGGTTGTTTTGTTATTGTCATGAGTTATGCGTGTCTCATAAATGTCTGCTAAAGGGTTGATAGTAAAGGCTTCCTTTGTTTATACTGTATCTACCAATATTTTTGGGTGAATAGCTCTTTTGGTGTTCTGGCAGCCTCCTTAAACATAATGTGAATTGTTAGTACTAAGCAGGGAAGAATGTTTAATGTTTAACAAGGGCCCCCTGCATATTTTATTTTATGTTAGTGTTTTAAAGATTGTGACAGAGAAAAATCAGCAGGATGAAACAGCTCCCGCTTTCCTGAGACATTGCACTGGGGAGGGGTGGGAAGAGAAACCCCGGGTCTGGGGGGGCCCAGGGACCTGCACAATTCCACATTCTGAAGTCTTGCTTTGACAAGGTTATTTTATCTTTCCCCCGCTGTGAAATCATGGCACCTGTCCCACTTACGGGAACACTGATCCCTTTCTGAAAGAAAGGTGAGACCTTATTTAATGTTACGCCTTTGCATCCTTTTATTGCAAAGGCTGGCTCACATTATCTCAACAGCTGTGTTGCAGCAGACAGTAGATAACTGGGTTGCTGCTCACTCTGTTTGCCAGAGCCAAGGCATTCTCGGTGGGAGAGTCCTTGAATCTAGTCCATCCACACAGACAAATGTTTGAGATTTTTTTCAGTCTGTTGCAAGGCCTATTTACTCAGACTTTTCTTGGGGGCTAGTGATCAGATGGGGATGGAGGAGTCCAGTGCTTAAAGATTACCTTAGCACTCTCATAGATTCATAGATGTTAGGGTCGGAAGGGACCTCAATAGATCATCGAGTCCGACCCCCTGCATAAGCAGGAAAGAGTTCTGGGTCTAGATGACCCCAGCTAGATACTCATCTAACCTCCTCTTGAAGACCCCCAGGGTAGGGGAGAGCACCACCTCCCTTGGGAGCCCGTTCCAGACCCTGGCCACTCGAACTGTGAAGAAGTTCTTCACAATGTCCAATCTAAATCTGCTCTCTGCTAGCTTGTGGCCATTATTTCTTGTAACCCCCGGGGGCGCCTTGGTGAATAAATACTCACCAATTCCCTTCTGTGCCCC